GGTTTTTTAATTTGATACACAATGTCATCATATTTGAAAATGTTATGATTAACTAATTTGGTCAAATAATTATCTTATATGGATGATTTAATTATAAATATGACATTATACAGAAAATTAAGATACATTTTTACATAGAAGCAAATAATTTTGTTATGTAATAGACATGTGCTATAGATTTACTAAACTTCATTAGTTCATTTTAGTAGTTGCTATTCAGTGTTCAGCTTTCTGCATGCCTTTGGGCTTTGTATTTGTATGTGTAATATGTAAAAGCTCAATTCTAACAGTTACCCATATTTATTGTTTTTGCATTTGGCCCAAATATTAATAGTGGACTCTGTGTTAATAGAATAAGTATTTGCCATGTGGTTGAGTTTTTTTTTTTTTTTAATCCATTTTGTCCCATCCCAATTGATACTGATCTATTTGGACGGTGTCTCATCCCGGACCGATTCAGAAAAAGGGGACATGTACCAGGATAGGTCAAATCACGTATCGTCCTGGACCGCGCCCGCCCACCCTTATGATAAATTAATTTTTTGAGCTTATAGCTTATATATTATGACTCATAACTGAAAAACTAACTTATATAATAAAAATGTTTGATAAATTAGTTGATAAGCTATCTGAAATAAAAAATTCTATGAGCTTATTTGAAAACCTACCCAAAGAAGTTTATGAGATAAGCTCAATCTTTTTAAAAAGTTCGTCGTACCAAACGAAACTTAATTAAATACAAGAATATTATAAACTAACTAAATAAACTATAAACTAGTTTATTTGTCTACCAAACATAAATTAAATTAAATGTATCCGGTGAGAGCTACAAAATAGCTTATATCTAAATTAGAAAGTTATTTTCAACCTTACAGACTTGATGAAAGTTATTTTCAAACTAAAATGTATGAAATAAAAAGCTCCAACTAGTGTGCAATTGATGTAACTTTATTTGAAATGGTTATTTTTTTTAATTAGTCTATTGTTTTTGAGTAATAATATCTATCGTTTCGAAAGAAAAAAAAAATAGTAATTTTTTAATGTAAAATGATATAATATAAAAAATAGTAACTGATTATGGTGTGATATAAGAATAGTTAATGACTAACAATTATAAATATGTAAGTTGATTAAGAATAAATATTATAAATAGATGTGTAATAATGTTTAACTTTCAATTGAAAAATTGTATTGGAAAACAGGAGGAAAAATAGAGAAAACTAAGTGGAATAGTAAATAATTAAGGATAAAATGTTTAAGATGATGAATTGAAGATGAATATTATTTTTTATCAATTGATGAGTGGGAAGAGAGCTGAAAAATATATCAATCGAGGCACATCTAAGAAAATTAGTGGAATAGTAAATAATTTTTAAATGTAAAATGATGTGATAAACAAATAATAATTCAACATGATGTAACCCAAAAAATTGTAAATCATATGTAAAACAATGATTTATAACATACATGCGTGGATAGATAAATATAACATATAAATAAACAAATGAAAACATATCCATTTCCTCCTCAACCTTTTGCTTTCACCAGCCCTTTCTGAATTAATATATGTTATTTATAGAACACGTGTCAATACTTTATTTATTAATATACCAAAACGTATTTATTATAGAATATATGTCAAACTGTCAATATACTATTTGTGAATAAGTGTGAATGACTCTATATAAATCGTGTTATTCTATGACTAGATAGCAAAACTGACCAAAACATACTCGATTTTTCTGCTCAAAGTCCTCAACCAACACATTATTAGTTATTACTACAACACAACCTAAAACACAGACCACAAATCTTGAGCCCTTGGTTCTAAAAACTCCAGACAGGACTTAAACAGCTAAACAAATATATATGGAGAGGAGACAAAACTCTGAACCCATATCTGAGCGCCGAAAAAGCTTCTAACCTGGGGAGAGAGAGACCGGAAGCCACTATAGCAATCCCAACTAGCCTCACCAGCCGTTGCCGGCCTCCACCCAAGGCCGAAAAGGAGAAAGCGGCCCAACACCGGCCCAGCCCATGATCGGAGAATCGGAACAAGCCGCGGCCGGCAGGCGAAAGAGGAGGGCGGCCGCCGGTTGCTTTTAAAGGAGGTTTTGAGAGAGAGAATTTCCTTTTTTTGGGTCAATACCAACACATTAATCGCTCCAACAGATTTACGTACTGCAACAACATTATACAAACAGGGTAATCAGTATCCAAGAATATATGCTCAAAATGATATTACACTATACTATTTCCAGTCAAAAGCTAAGATCACCCTACAAATTCAAATCCCCATTCAAAGGATTCATCAATATTCAAATAATAATAAAAATACCAAAAATATTCACCTGCGATCGAACCATAACCGACGCCGCCAAATTCAAGTCACGTGTGCAGGTAATCGCAAAATGCTCCCTTCCTGCAATGACCACTCTCATGGAATTTACACACCTGCTGCCCTTTCGGCACTGACCTCCCCCACTGGGCCCGCACCCCATACTTCCTCTGCCCGTCCCAGGCCATGCTCCCGCCAATCGACCCGCGACCCAGACCCGGGCTAACCCAGCCCGAACCCAGGCCTGGGCCTGGGCCTGTCCCCCAGCCAGCAGGCCCACCCAACACGAGGTTCACATTGCCCTGCACCGCCACCAGGTTGAAGTGCCCCTGCATTGACCCCACTGATCCCCCCCAC